TGTTAAAAACTAGTTGTTAATCATTTAGACAAGTATAAAATTATGCTCAACCAGTTCTCAATGATTTTGAACAACATGAGATGGCTATGAAGTTATTTCCAATCATTTTGAACAATTTTGCTACCTTATAAACCAATTTTAGACAATGTTGGGGCAGTTTTCAGTCATTCTGAGCAACCTAAACTTGCTATAAACTAGTCCTTATACATTTAGACAAGTTTTTAATGACTATCAACTAGATAAATAGAAACAATTTTGACAATGTTGGTGCAGTTTTCAGTCGTTAGTTCTAGTTTTACACTAGCACTGTTACTATATAGAACTAACACTATACCTAGAAGTAGAATCATTTGGGTTTAGCCGCAAGTCTCTAAAGACGGCTAAACCCGAATGATTCTAGTTCTAGATACAGTGTTAGTTCTAGTTTTACACTAGCACTGTTACTATGTAGAATTAACACTATACATAGAACTAAAAATATTCAAGGTTAATGTTTTTTATTCCATCTTGTTTATTTTTTGATATAAATGCATCATGTCATTCAAAATGAGCCCAAACATGATACGTTTAATTCCAATATTACTCGAGATATAAGCAACTTCCGGTATTTTTATTGAGCTATAACGGATAGTTTTTTTTTAGGACTGTATGTAGACTTTTTTGAGTTATAGATATGATTATGTTTTGTGTTTCTCTTGATTAATAATAGCTTATATTGTTTTTATGTAAAATATGGAAATAATATGGACTTCTTACATGTTTTGTTAAAAAATTTCATTGAATTACATTTCGGGAGCTCAGATATTATCATTTTCCGGGCTGTATGTAGACTTTATTGTATCACTGTATATGAGAAAACACATAAAGGATTACAAACTACACAAAACACTGCAAGAATATAACACCAGAAACAAAAACGCAATTGTACCAAAGTTTCATGGAATCAACAAGTTCAGAACAGCAAAAAGTTATTATGGTCCAACAAAATTATTTAACAAATTACCAGAATTCATAAGAGAGCTCCCACTGGGGACTTTCACAAGAGAAGTCACTGCTATTCTCCTCGGTCGGGCATTCTACAGCGTACAGGAATTTCTAGACAGTGAAATGTAACCGTCAGATTGCCGTCACATGTCATTCCTTTAGCTAAAGTTTGAAATTTTTGAGTATAAGTAGTTTGTCTGTGTCTTATGTTGTCCATCAATATTTCGAATTAGTTTTCTGTTTTTTTGTAAGTAACTTGTGGCAAATTGAACGACATGTAACCAAATGAAGAGTGGAAAAGAATGTAAATTCTTATTTACACAAATAAAGTATTATTATTATTTTTCTGCAGTATCTAGGCATAAATTTGCTTCATGCTTTTGCATCAACGTTTTATAACCAATCGTCGTTTTCGCTGTCACTTTATAAGTTAAGAGGTAATGCAAAATTTGATTCTACCTTATTAAATGTTCGTAAAGGTGTTGTAACTTGTAACTCGTAAAAGCTAGAAAATATGTGAAATAATAAAAAAAGAATCCTATTTGGCAAATCCACAAATAATACAATACTCCACCATCATTTTGATCAATTTTGATATAAGTAATTAGACTTGAATTAGAAACAAAACGTTTGAGGTTATGTATATTAAAATTTAGTTTTTCTTGTTTATTAGTTGGTAATAAATTTTTTTTGCTTAAATTATAGTAAATGTCAAATTCTTTAACGGTAATAATTTTATGGTTTAATTTAATTTTTATAAACAAATGAAAATTAAAAACATTTAATCGAAATCAAAATTTTTATTGACCAATTCTTTCCAGAATACGCATGCGCAATGAATGTACAGTGAACCACGGCCTTTCTGATAGATAAATGTCAAGTGATTGTTGTGTATCCGTTAACAACGTAAACAAACACCAAAACACTGTGCGGTTTACAACTCGTTTTCCAATTCGATTTTTGGCGATTTGCTAGTACATGACAACGTGTCTCGTTGGAACATGTACCGTTTGAAGATCACCTTCGACGAAAAGAAAAAAGACGCAGAGATGATCTTCAACATTCAATGGAAGAATAAAACGGTTTGTGTCGACGCAAGATCTAACATGGTGGGCATGTTGGATGGATCAGCCACTAACGATTATCACACTTTCAAAACCTATCTGGTATATGACAATAATTTATACATTTTTCAATAGGTTGTTTATATAACTATATGTTGATTTCTTTTATTAAATAGCTAAACAATTCCGGAACTTTCGTTAATAATGTTGATAACGTTCGAGTATCTTATATAGCTGGTGATAATGAATGTTATATTGAGAACGATTTCGACTATGATTATGCGTTGCCGTTTTTCCGAGGGAAGGCTTTAGCTGGACAGTATATTGATTTGAAATTAGATTATGTGGATAGATCTAGAGTGAAAGATAAAGAAATTCCACCTCCGGATTGGTTTTTGAAGTATATGAAGAAGGTAATTATTTTTATTACATTATTTCATCACATCAAAATAAATATGTATGTAAAATCCCTTAGAAATATTAGAAAATCACGAATTAAGTACTCAAGAATGTTAGTATAAATTTCAAATATTCTTTATGATTGTATTTCATTTAGAACTATATTGGTTACTTCTGCAGTTCGACAACCAAATGGTAAAGAAGATTTTAATCACAGTTGATAGCAAAAACCGTATTTGAACTGTACAAACTTTAATCCTCTAGTGAAGGGGTGTTCCCATAATTACATGAGCCACCCACATGAATGGGTGAGGCCTGTCAGGCCCATATTTGCAATACATATAAAAAAGAATTAAATAGTTTTTTTAACTGTTTTTCAATTTAGAGTAAATTATAGTTAGTTTACTTCACCATGAGTCAATAAAATTAAAAAATATAAATATTAAGGTTAGGAATTTTGTTAAATATAACAACACTTCATTTTAAACATTATTTACTGAGTTTTAAACAATAACAAATACAGGGTGTCTCAGGGAGACCGGTCATTAGGCGATTCTGGGGTTCTGGCGAAAATAAAAATTTGAGAATTCAGACTTAAGTATTATTAATTACGATCTCTTCGACTAAAATATTTTCAAATTTCTTGCACTTCCGGTTATACCGGAAGTCGCCACCTACTTTATTTTTTTAAATGGAACATTCTGTATATTTTTACATATTTGGATTTGTCTGTTTTCAAGGTTTATAAATAACTTTACTTTTTGCAATTTGATTCGGCCGTTCTCGAGTTATTCGAATTTTTCTAGAAAAATCTGCTCCAGCAGACATTTATTCAAAAAATCAGAGAACACTCGATTTTTGGGATATCAGTTTAGGATTCAGAACATGCTTAAGCAACATGATGGAGTATGTTTTGGTGCCGATAGCGGCTGTCTAGAACATTTGCTCACTTTACTATGGCACGTTATAACTTTTCAAAATTTGGAAGTACCATAACTTCATTTTTTTAAATGGCACCCCTCATATTTTATTACTTAGTTGTCTTCGGTGTCTCATTCTACATCTTTTATCTCCCATGTCCCATACCTAACATTAATAGTTTGGGAGATAATTATGGTTTTTTGAAAAATACACACATATATGGATATTTAGCCTAGTGTGCCATGAAAAACAAGCCTTCTCAGTGAGTTCTTGTCAAAGACTCACTTATTTACGTCACTTGATGCATGTGAGCTAATAATTATCTGTTAGGTCCCTTAATATTAGTACTGAAAAGAGTTAAAATCGATAACAACGAAAGTAATATTTACACAAATCAAGAAATTCTTAACTTATTTTTTATGCATGAAAAGCGCGACAAAGTTCATAGTAGGATTCACAGATCTTCTTTGCAGCTCGAATTGAGGTGTTGGGACTGGGCTTGAAATAAGCCAAGGTATTCACATCTTCCGTTGCATTATCTACTACATTTTTTGGTCAGTTTAACACGTGATAAAAAATTTGCAAAAAATTTGCTTCTATTCTTCTAAATTTACCTTTTGTCATCGGAGGTAAATGTGGATAATTTTCATTAAACATTCTGCAAGTTCTACTAAGAACTTTGTCGCACTTTCCGTGCACAAAAAATAAATTATGGATTTCTTCATTTGTATAAACATTATTTACGTTATTAATATCCATTTTAACTGGTTTTAGATTCACAAGCATCCAACAACGTAAATCAGACTTTGACGTTTGTCAACAAGTCATTAAACATTTGTTTTCCATGGCACACTAGGTTAATATCGATGTGATATGTGAGCATCTTTTAAAAAACCCTAATTATTTCTCAAACTATTAATGTTAGGCATAGGACATAATATGTCCTCTCCATATTATGGAGTATAAAAGATGTAAAATGAGACGCCGAAGACGACTAAGTAATAAAATATGGGGGGTGCCATTTGAAAAAATGAAGGTATGGTGCTTCGAAATTTCGAAAAGTTGATGTGTCATAGTAAAGTGAACAAACTCCATAACGTACTCCATAATGTTATTTAAGCATGTTCTGAATCCTAAATTGATATCTCAAAAAACCAGTATTCTATAGGGTGTCTCAATAACAATGCCCGATTTAATTTATCAATAAAACGCATAGTTTTTGATCGAGTGGTGATATTTTTACCACATTATAAAGCACACATGTTCCGATTAAGCATGAAATAAAATATCCGGTAAATGACTCCCGCGGCTTTGCACACAGATCCTTGCTCTTTTCATGAAATTTTCGATGATGTTTCTGCAGAGTTGTGGTTCTAACTCACCGATGACGCGTTTTATCTCGTCCCTGAGCTCGGGAATAGTCCGTGGCGCATTGGCATAGACGTGAGATTTCACAAAACCCCAGAGGAAGAAGTCGCACGGTGTCAAATCGCACGATCTCGGTGGCCAGTTGAAGATGATTTTTTTCGAAAAATCGGCATTCACTTCATTTTGCTCCATCAACCATTGAACAAATTGGCGGCGCTGTGAGTGGTCTGTTGGTTTGAGCTCCTGGGTCAGCTGAACCTTGTAGGGATGGAGATGGAGGTCCTTCGTGAGAATTCGCTGCGTGGTGGTTCTCGAAATTTGAAGTTGTTGTGAACGATTCGTTTACAGCAGCGATGTTTTCGCGAGATGGGCCGGTACGTCGACGCACAGGAGACTTACTGTCCATAATCGACCCGGTTTCTTCAAATTTATTGATTACTCTTCGAATTGTTGACACATTTGGTGCACTTTCACGACGTAAAATTCCGCGAAGTTTGCGAGCGGTTTCGGCATAACTTTCCCCATATTTGTAATGGGTTTTCACAATGATAACGCGTTGTTCCTTTGTATAGCGCCCCATTATTAATAATCAGAGCAATCGTAGATGATAGCTGTCAAATTTCGGGGCTGCCACTTGCACAGAAAAAAAATGGCACCAAATTTAAATCGGGCACTCTTATTGAGACACCCTTTATGATTTTTTGAACAAATGTCCGCTGGAGCAGATTTTTCTAGAAAAATTCGAATAACTCGAGAACGGCCGAATCAAATTGCAAAAAGTAAAGTTATTTATAAATCTTGAAAACAGACAAATCCAAATATGTAAAAATATACAGGATGTTCCATTTAAAAAAATAAAGTAGGTGGCGACTTCCAGTATAACCGGAAGTGCTAGAAATCTGAAAATATTTTAGACGAAGAGAACGTAATTGATAATAAGTCTGAATTCTCAAATTTTTATTTTGGCCAGAACCCCAGAAACGTCTAATGGCCGGTCTCGCTGAGACACCTGTATAAAAAGAAGTTATAAGAATGCAGTTAACAAACTAATTTATAAAAAACCTAGGGTAAACACGACCACTTAACTCTTACTGGAGCAAGTGTTTAACATAACATTTTGCACAACTGGAGCAAAGTTTGATTTTTTTAGATTCTTTAAGTAAACGATTTTAAAAGGTCATATATAGGTTGAAATCATATGATATTTCATTAAAGCATAAAGTTTTTAAAAAAATTGGAGATTCACTTTTTGTACCACCGCTCCATTTGCATAAAAATAAAATATCATATATCTGTTTTGGTTTATTTTGGACATACGAGTATGTAAATTCTACAAAAAACAATAATCTTGAGAAAAACAAGAATATATTCTTTAAGTGCGCAGTGGCTTTGCCTTGGTGCTACAACATTCAAGTTTAGCCATCTTAAAAGATTAACGGCTAAACCCGAATCTATCTAGTTCTTGGTTTAGTTCAAGAGAATTAACAACAATTTAGCGCTGAAGAACAATTAAAACTAGAACTAACACTACACCTAGAACTAGAAACATTCGGGTTTAGCCGTGCGTCTGAAGACGCTAAACCCGAAACTTTCTAGTTCTAGATCTAGTGTTAGTTCTAGTTTTATATCATTAAAACTAATACCACATCTAGAACCAGCAAAATACGGGTTTAGCCGTCTTGAGAAAGAAAAGAAGAGGCTAAACTCGAATGTGTCTAGGTCTAGTGATAGTTCTCATGATATAAAACTAGAACTAACATTTGACCTAGAACTAGAATCATTCGGGTTTAGCAGACTTAAGAAACGCAATGCTAGTTAGCTAGAAGTTGATCGAATTTATCGACACTGTTCATGTTGGCGTTATAATCTACAATATATTTCCATATTTTCCTCTTCTACTACTTTTCGTGCAATCTTTAGGATTGTGGTAATTTGGTTAAAGGTGTACATTTTATCTTTCCATTTTATTGCAAATTGTTTTGTATCGTTTGTGTACCAGTCGAATTCATCTCTTTGGAGCTGCTTGTCCATTTTAAAATTAGGTAAATACTTTCGAGATGCATTCACTTAGTTCCACATTGTTAAAAAAATTATCAAAAAATATTGTATGGTTTTTTTTGTTCAAGACCCCCAGTAAACTTGTACACAACCCTAGAACTTATAGGACAGAGCCTAGGTCCTATAAGTTAATCCTGGGATTTTCCAATACAAATATCGAATTTCAAACAGCATCCCGACTTATCGCAAAAGTTTCTTAGGCATATACTGTTTTAGCGCACTTCTACCTTTAAATTTGATCATCGACTCGTCCAAGGCTAATACTTCATTTGATAAAAGCCAATACTTAAAAGCTTTTTCTAAATGATCTAACAACGGCCATACTTTATAAAGACGATCAAAATATTCCGATTCACTATTAGGCATGGCAGAGTAATGATTGATATGCAAGTGTCCTAATAGCCAACCAAATCTTTTTTGCGTTATAAGAGAGCTAATGTAAGAATCACCTAGATCTGGTGCACTGGACCAATAATCTTTGTAACTTGGCCAATGCTTGATCCCCATAAGTAAATTGATTCCTAAAAAGGCATTTATTTCTCCGCACGTCGTTCTCCTGCATACTAGAAAACATATGCATTTGTTGTTCAAGTTTGCTTGAAAAACGTAAAAATAGTTGAAACAGAGAATGTGGTGTCAGATTTAAGCTGTTTATTTTATTGATAACTGTAGTTAATTTTTTTTTAATTTTTGCTTGAAGTACAGATTAAGGTTTCTTGTCATCTGAATCATTTTCACTGGAATAAATATCAATATTGGTATTTATATCTTCATCTACTTCAATTTTCGCAGCTGCGAAAGTAGGAAAATAATTTTGATTATTTTGTGATATTCTGATTATAATGTAGACCAAGACATTATAGACCATTGCGTCAGTTGGGTGAAAATTTAGGTGGTTTATTTTTTGTACCACTGCACCAGTAAGAGTTAAGACGCGTGTGAAGTTGGCCATAGATTTCAGCCGTAGATTTTAAACTGAAAGAAATGCGTGATCGGGGTATTTGATCGATCTAATTTCAACGGCATCGTAGTCGACCATGCCTTTTGTTTCAAATTCGAAAAGAAAATTTTCCTAACCATTTCCTATAGTCCGGGAAAATCGATTTTCTTCAAACTTTTGCCACTAAAAATCTTCAACAATCATTTCTATTTTAGTTTGTCATTTCATTCGTTTGTAATGTGTTTATCTTGTTATTTTATCATTTTTTACTTTAAAAAATTTTAAGTGTTTAACTTATCTGAGTTTTTTGTTCTTTTTTGTTCATTTTGACAATTCAGCTGATGATGGCTTGTTAGCCGAAACCGGTTTCTGATTATATTAAAATTTTTAGCGAGAAAGAAGTTAATTTGTTTAAATACCTATATTTTATATTTAATTATTTTTTAACTCGCAATATGGATTTCCAAAGATTTACTGTATTGAGTTTAGTATCTGAAAATTACCATTATCTAGAAGTTAAAATTCTTATTTTAGCATTTTTTTGCAAATACAAACCGTTTTTGTTTATTAATCTTATGTATGAATGATTATCTAACAACATGCCGACTTGTAAACCCATGTTTTAAATATAATTTGGCGTCGTTGATGGTTAACACGATCACTAAAGAGCTGTTCAAGACTGTTGTAGGCAGTGCTACACCACACGATTAAAAATCTTCTATTACAGCAGTTATCTACACAGAAATACAATCTTGCGACCTGTTGGAATACGGCTTTTGCTATCAATTGTTAATAGAATGCTGTTTCGCGTACAGTTGTCTAACTATATAGGTAACCAAGACATCCACTTTTGCTTTTACTCTTCTGAGTGAAACGAATCATCAAAAATATTTGAAATTTGTACTACCATTCTCGTGTAATTCGTGATTTTCAAATTTTTTGGTGGGTTTTGTTTATGCTCTCATATGATGGTTTTGAAGTTGTTTATACATATTTAAGCAGGAGATTTTTTTCTTTAATCCCGTTAACACCTCGAACAATAAATTTATTTCCACTATAAGATTGAGGACTATTGAAATGCAATTATTTTTTCATATGCCAATATTTCGCTTTTGTATTAAAGCTTCTTCAGGGCTTAAATTTAAATTGTACTTGAAACAGCGAAAAATATTAAAAAATTGCTTTTGTGGTTCTTACATGGATTTAAGATGTGCGTCGTGGCTGATTTTTAACATGGATTTTTTAACATGAATTTGGATCTTTGATCTAAATACGAATTAGCATATAAACTATGTCTAACATTTAACAATCATGTTAAAGATCTGGTGGCCGACGCACCTCATAGTACTTTATGTATTCTAAAAATGTAACCTCCCTCAGACGGTTAAAGGAAATTAATTTCAAAAGATATATAGAATATTTCCTTAATATCTTGCTGGTTAAATCAACATCCTATAAGAAACTTTTTTTTCATCTGCAGTAGATACAAAGCAGATTCCGAAAGAAACATTAAACAAAAGTGTTTCGTTAATAGATTATTTTAAAGAAAATTATTGATTTTTGATCAATTATAATTGTAATAATACCTAATTTGGAGTTTTTTGTTTTGAATAGTTTAAAGAAGACATTGTTAGTGAAGTATCTGCCATCGTTTTGTCAAAACAGCATCAAAGCAACAGCCATCCTATTAGGAAATTGAAACCTGAAAGTTATAAAAGGAGCAGAAAAGTACCACTTTTAGTAGGGGACACCAATGAGTAAGTATTTTTTATTTAATATGTTAAAAATATTTATGGGGCGATTCAAATGTAAACGGGAAAGTTTTTAATCAGTTTATTATTAAATAGATAATATTCATTGATTGATTATTGTATTATGATATAACAGTAAGATATATAAAATACTTATTTTACTTTAAAATTAAATGTCAATAATGTTAGGGTGATATTCAGAAACTATACTACAGTGCTTTTTCTTCTTCCATTTGTTTTAGACCTGTGGTCCTTCTGTGTTTGTCTGGTGGTTTTCCTGCTTATTTTTTCCATATGCGGCAATCTGCTTTCATTAAATCTCTTCACATTATTGTACCACACGTTTCTTCTTTATCTTCACTATCTTACTACATCTAGTACACCACATTGTTCCCTGAATATCTATAGTCCTTATCTGAGAAACGCGAATGACTCGTTATTTAAAATTGTACGAAATAAGATTTGGACATAGTATTGAACTTTTTCTATTACAAAGAAGAGTGACATTACAGCTTCTCTAAAGCGACGATTGCTCTACTCTGCTCTAAGGAGTAAGCTGAATCGGATTCGTACTTTTTAGCTTTATCAGAAAATGTTATAATATATAGGGTGTTCCATTAAAAAAAAACAAAGTTGACCCATTTTCCGGAAAAACTAAAAGTGTTAAACAACTTTTTATGCTAAATTATTTAGGTTAACACAAAATATTCGACGTGTTTCGGCTCAAGACGATATCTCCAACCGTTTTCAAATTAGACAGGGCGGGGGTTATATATGACGCGCTGTATATTGAACACCACATTGATATTTTAAATCATAATCCACGAGCACTGGTTTCACCAAAACTAATTTGTTTTTTTACATATTTTGCAGATTACTAATTCCGAAATTGAGGAGCTCGCAGTATAATTTTCTCTCATAGATTTCTCAATTAAAAAAATCGATTAAAGCATCAATCCTTAAGCATCCTGATAAAGATGTCATTTTATTGGTTTGGTTTCTTAAGTTATGACTGCTGGAGATAACCAGTTCAATATATTTTTACTAATTGACTTGGTCGATTGTCATGTGTTCTATCACAAGATTTTATTGATGGATATAGTCATGTTCAGTTGTTGGCTTACTTGATAGAATTTAAACAGCTGTCTTAGCAGATCATTTTCTGCTTCTGCTATTGTCAATGCCATTGCTGCATTATCTGTATAACATATCATATTGACTTTTTCCATTAAAAATTTTGTCCATTATCAGATTAAACAGAAATGGTCTTAGGTGTTCCCTTGTCTAGTTCAGGGATATTAACCATTGTGTTCTTGATTTAATCTTTGTCATGTTACCTATATTTAGGATTTGGTTTACATTTACAATGTTAGATGGCATTACCTGATAGTAATCTCAAAATGTTTTCTAGGCGTACTGTAACGAAGGCTTTCATTATGTCAATAATGCAAATATAAAGGGATTTGATGCCATAAATTCTATTGACTTTTCTTTCAACAGTTTGATAATAAATAAAGCGGCTGTTGTTAACTTATTCTTTTCTAAATACTTGTTGCTCTTCTCTATTACCAATCTGCGCTTCTAGTATTCTAGGCAAGTCTTTTGTCTATTTTTGAAAATAGGTATTGTAATGCTTCTGTGTCTATTTTTTGGTATTAGTGATGAGCACAAGATATGGTTGCACAAAATCAACAATTATATATTGAGTTCTTTAACTCTTTATTATAAAAGTTCATTAGGTACGACTCTGGCTGTATTTCTTTACCTTTTCTTCACTGATTGTTATTTCCCTAATGTTTCATATTCTTTTATTTTAGTTGTTTCTTTGGTATTATATAATTGTTGGACTATACTACATATAATGCCTAACATAGAATTGTTCCATGACGTCATGTCGTAATCTTCTCTCATTAATAAGTGTTACTAGGGTTAAAACTCGGATTGATACTACAGTTCGGTTGGAACATCATGTCCAAAATATTTTCATTTAGTACCTTAGCTGGTTCTTGAGTAGATTTTTTGGTAGTTTTAAATCCTATTATTGAATTTGTTAATACGCCATTTCTTTCTTGGTTCCAGCAACATTCTAGAACACTTTTATTTCCCTATCTTCATTCGCTTTTCTTTTTAACCTCTTCGATGGCTTCTACATGTACATACTTGTTCCCCCTAGTTTTTTAAAATTCTCCCATTCCGTAAATAAATAAATAATCGCATATTTCTCGCATTACAGAGCAATTCAGAAGTATCGTCTTTTGTCCGTTTGGATTGCAGTCCTTAAATTCATGACCCCAATTCAAATTTTATCACATCTTACCTGATATGACCACACTGTTGGTATTTATGCCTGAACACTTATTTAAAGACTACAAAATTGTCTCAACTTTATACAAAATATTCCCCAGGTCAATACTTTTTCTCTTACGGTAGCGTCACTTCAGCCAGTCCTATAACCATTTCTATATCAAACACTTTGGAATTCAGCCATTTTGGCTCTTTCACAATTTATTCTGTGTTCTTTATCATTCCTTTTCCTAACTCTTTAATCATATTTACAACCTTGATGGATTTTCCTCCTAGCTATTACTTTGTGCGCTTAACGTACACCTCTAATTCTCACTCTCTATTTTTCTTGAGCTCAACCACTGCAGCTTTTTAATCGAGCCTCGGCTTTGATCTGGCTTTCTATCACTACTACGTTTGCCCTTTTATTATACTCCTTTTTCCTTTCTTACCACAATTGCATAAGTATCCTTCGTCGTCTCCTCTTTATTTGTGTTATCCACCTGTCTCTCTGATGTTTCTCTTTGTTACATTCTTGTACTTTTCACTTTGAAAGTATCCGTAATTTTTCAATCTTTCTATTTATTTCAGTCTTTCTATGCCGTACTCTATGACTTCATTTCCCTATTTGTTCTCCAGGTTATGTTGTCGCTTCTTGTATCACCACATCCTTCATCAGTGACGTTGGTATAAATTCCAACTCATCCTGTAAAAGTACCTCTAATGTCTTTCTTCTCTCCGACTGTACCAAACCAAAGTCTCAAATATCAACACAAATCTTCTATAATGGAAGTGCTAGAGAAATACATCACTCCCTGATACTCCTTTCTGCATCTAGAAAACACGCATACCTGTTCTAGACTTTATCTATCTAAATGTTGCGTAATTGTAGTTTGAAAATAACCTATAAAATCTTTTTTCACGGAAAGACGGAGTTTTCTGCAAGTAAGCTTTTATGTGTTTCGTAGATTCAAGCCTATGTTATTTTGAAGTTCTTGATTAACTTGTTAGGTTCTTGATGCCGTGGAGAGACTACAATATAGAGCTACAGATTTTTTCGAAAAGAGATAATATATCTTTGAGCAAATGTTTTACGGATTAATTCCTATTATCAAATCGCAATGTTGTACTAACAAAGAGCAGTATTTTAAGTGTTATTTGCAGCAACAAATTTTTATTTTCAAACACTTTTAAATACATTTCTATCTATCAACGAAGCATATGATGTCTATTTACTCTATAAATTAAAATATTTGTTTAATAATAAAATTTATTTGCGTATTAAGTCACTGATTGTAAGTATCTATTCTAATACACCTTTAATGTTCATTATTATAGTAGGGAATTATTAACCAAAGTAAGAACAAAACTGGAGAAATTGGAACACAAAGCAACAAAACTAAAAACAAAGAAAGCCTTAATGGGATTGTCGAGTGATAGTGATGCCGGTAAAAGTAGTAAAAGTGAAACAAATCAGCCTCAATCCGCCGAAAATGACGTTGAAATGAGTGCCGCACTCATCACTCCAAACAAAAAAGGTAACATTCCATATTTAAGTGGAGGCGAGACTTATGTGCACACTTGGGAAGTTAAAAACAATGGATCTCTACCATGGAATTCATCTGTGAGTACTGTTTATATCAATATCCATTATTTTATATAACTTTTTTTGTGCTTAGACAAAATTAAAATATGCGTGGGGTTCACAAGCCTTTGAACCATGGGAAAAAAATATTACCTGCCCGTTTTTAAAACCAGGTGAATCTGGTTGCATCAGCGCAATCTTTAATGTTCCAGGTAAATTTTATAAAAATTGTATGGTTGTGTATGAATATAACAGTTTTTTTGTATTAATAGCTCTTCCAGGAATGTACGAATGTTATTGGCACTTTTACAATAATGGCAAACGTTTCGGGATATCACTTTCGTCAGTAGTTATGATTGCTGATAATCCGGTTAAAGCTGAAAATTACATTCGAAGTCCCACTTATGATGTGATCAATATCCAGGATGATTATGAACTTGTTTTGCCTACTACTTGGACTATACCACCTCAAAAACGTAACTCGCAATCCAGTAAAATTGAAACTCACAATCAAACTAAGTCTGAGCCTGAAAAGACACAAAAAATGGTGGAGTCAAGTCTAATTATTGAATCCAAAGATGAAACAGATTGCATTGAGGCTAATCAAGTCACCACAAAGGAAGAGGAAAATTGTGACGCTTTTCAAGGTGAAGGTGACGGAGTCGAAAATAACGATGGTTCTAAAATAGAGGCCGAAGAAAGGTTGGAAACAGAAAATAGAAACATTGAAATAGACGAAAAAATTGATTTCGATCTATTTTTGGATGAAAGTGATGATCAAAGCATTATTTCCATCAGCGACAGTAACAGTTCATATGATTCCAAAAATGAGTTTGTAATGTTAGAGTCAAATACGTCCAATTTGAATATAGATGATGTGCGTCAAAACATTCAAAGTGATACAAACGACCTGCTAGTTGATGCAGTACAAGATACTGATGGAATTTCTGATAGCAAATTGCAACATGAATGTCAAGAACCTAAAATTGAGCATGAACACGAAAAAGAAGAAGAAGTGAAAACTGTTGATGTAACTGATAATCAAACAAATGGAGTAAGTGATGTTAAATTGGCAACACAAACTGTTTCAGAAGATGATGAAAGAGAATGTAATAATGATGATAAAAATGATGACGAAGATGTAGTAAAAGGTGAGAATATACCAACTGGATCTGCAAAAACTACTAAAGGTAACCATGGTAAAGTGTCTATATTAGAGATCATTTATATGAATTTTTTTTTTTAGATGAATTTGGTTATATTATTTATGAAGGTAAAATAGTTCGAATTCCTAAACGGTATTTAAATGATGGTAAATCTCAAATGAAGGAAAAAGTAGTTGAGATAGCCTCAAAATCCCAACAAAGTAACCAAAATGAGAATAAGTTACAAAAAAACGCTACACTTAACACTGAAAACGCGACCGCTATAAAGACTAAGGACAATGGGACGATTCCAAAAAATATTAATAAAATAAAGAAAGAGAGAATTGTTAAAAAATCAAAATCGCCAGAATCGAAAGTGCCAGACACTTTAAAAAAAAGATTGGACCTGGACATTTCCCCCGAAATGTTTACGTATAAAACTAAAAAAAATCCAACTTCAACTGTTAATTTAAATGAAAAAAGACGAAAAGCCAAAGAGTCGATGGATGTTAAACAAAGATTTTTTGTCTTCCCACAACAGGGTCCAGGCTATGAAATGGTTGAACATTCACGAAAGATTGATGATTTAAAAGATGATGATCCAAATAATTATCTTATCAAAACTCGTAAGTATTATTATTTAATTTAATCAGAATTAGAAAAGATAAATAAAGCATGTCATAGATTTGAAATTGGGTAGCTTTTTCCTAATTATGACGCAATGTGTTTCAGTTGTATATGTAGTAAGACGTTAACAAGGGATACAACTTAAAAAATGAATGAATAAGTCGTATTTGAATCCCAAGTTGTTTATGTGATCATAGTCCTCCAAAGGTATTCTTTCTTTTAAATGTTATACTTTTGCCTGTTGCATCTTCGTGCTCTGATTCTCAACCCTTCTAAAGGCAAGAGCTGATTTATGCGCTAATTTGAAGACGTGCTGCTGTTTATATTGAAGATTACATTCGGCGTCCATTTGCTTAATTTTGTTAAAGATGACTGCATCGATTTTTCAAAGTATATATTTCCCCATTATGCAAATGGGTACTAGTGTTGCTACTGACACCATTATCAGTCATAGTTGATGCCCCCACTGCTAGTCTGTGGGCTGTGCTTGAGTTATTGTTCTGTCGGAAGTGTCGCATATTTTCTGGTTTAGTTATGCCCAAGCCAAAGATTACATTGTGCTTCAACCACTAACATTATCTTAAGACAAAAATTTGGGGTCCTGAGAAGTTAGGGACACTTTATTTGTTAAAAAAAAAAAAAATAATATAACGAATTGTACTTATTTTTAATTACAGTTTTAATTTTTTTTCCATATTAACTGTTTCAGAATATGATGAATCATCAGGTATTGTAAACATGTATATTGTTTACGCTAAAGATAACATCAAAGAACCAAATGTGTATGGTTATTTTGTCCCACTGGAATATGTGCAAGATCATTCATTACAAAACTCACCATCAATTCGAGATGAAGAATTGATTTATTATGCCATTCCGGTTGACGTAGAAGCATTATTCAAAAGCAAAACTGAGGAAATGTATTGCAGATTCATCCTTATGAAGTTACATCATGGCCCCTACTCTGAAGATACTGCAAGGGTTTTATGTGACGTCTCTACCCCAAACACACAAAGCATTTTTAATTTGAGCAATCTAAAAACTTGTTATCATTACCATCAACAAATGAACGCTGCTGCTATTGACAAACAGTATCCTAGTGTTATAACTTTTGGTTCCCAACATATGGTAGTGTATGAGATTGCCTCCGCTTCGAGGCGCTATGCGTTTGATATGGATATTAGACCTCAAAATGTAGTTCCTGAGAGCAGCTTACGATTGCGTGTTCACACCTTAGCGCTAAATCACTTAACTGCAAAAAAGGGTATTAAAGGAGAAGAAATAGCGACAAATACAGATGTAGTTATAGGTGATAATAAGGGGTTATCATCTAAATGTAAAAAAGAAATTCAACTTGGAAAGGTAGAGACTCATTTGCACCACAAAAAATGTAAGTATAATTTTTATCTTGAAGTTAATAAATTATTATATAAAAACAGCTGTATGCAAAAGTTTATTATATAACATATAGGACATTTCTTTTAATTAGTTATTAGTATCAGAAGTTTAAAAATCACTCTTACAAGAAATGTTTTTTTAGGGTTTTTTTTGTCCATATTCATCAGCTTATAATTAAGAAAAATAACTTTTTCTTTTTTGTACTTCTGATGTTTTTATCTTATTTTATTTATGCTCTAACGGTTTCGGCTGTAGTCATCATTTAGGAGCGTCTATAATTAAACCACATACAATTATTAAACAATTATAAAATGAAAGTATGACATTAAAAGAACATGTGTTAATCTAAACTAAAAATAACTTACGTCAATTTTCTTGAGATTTCGAGCAAAAGCATTACATGAAACAGGTGTACACCAATTAAATATTTCGATTACTCTATTCTTCAATAAACGATCGTCCGAAAAAATGATAAAAAATCACAAATACAATGAATCAAACTGATCAATTTCTCTTCCCGTTCCGTTGTTAAGGTTAAGTAAAACTTGTTTTAAGAAATTTCGTCAAACGTGGGTTGAGTTGTACATTACATAGAATACATATCAGGTAGGCGGACCAACCAACCATGCACCGCGACCTTAAGGATCCACTCAGTGGTGAACCCATAGGTAAACCGTCTGGATATGTGTAAATGTTATCCTCAAAACTGCACAAATTCTGTTCGGTGCAAATCTTGAAAAGGTTGTGTATGTCGTCTACTTCTTTTTCTTCCTGAAGTTCATCTGTGAGCAATTTTCTTAAGATATCCAAGGTCTCTTTGATAGGGACATTGGTGTACAAGTTTGAGATATCGAAGGATATCATAGAGAATTTTTCTGGAAGTTCAGTCTGATTGATCTTATCCATTAAGTCCTTCCTGTTTTTTATTGTGTATTTCGGTCTGAATGTGAGGTTGTTCCTGGTGAAGGAACTAAGGAATTTTGCTAGATAGTATGTACTAGAGTTTATGCTTGAAATGATTGGTCTCATCGGGATGTTGGTTTTATGTATTTTGGGTAGTCCATACATTTTGGGTAATTGGGGGTTCATCTGATTAATTTTATTAAGGTGTGGAAGATATTTTTGTAAAGTATGACTGCATTCTTCAATTGTTGTGTTCATCAGTCTATTGTGAAAGGCCATCATAGGGTTTTTGTTGAGTTTTTTAAATTTGTTGTTTTCAATGAATTCCATGGTTGTATTGATCTAATCCTCCTTTTGTAGTATGACCATTCCCGCATTTTTGTCTGCATTAATTAATAGCGTCAGCACCCAAGTGACCCAGCACCTTCTTTTCAACTCAGTTCCGATTGGCCGGAACCTCCCTCTCCCCGCATGGCTTATTTCTGTTTCTCTTTAATTAGGGAAATTAGAGGATCTTTTTCCTTAATCTAGTACAGTCAATATCCGCAAAAGATGTGTGGAGCGAAATAGTACGGGATACTGTCATGAATTCTTGCTTTTTGAGGAAACCTTAACTGGAGGGAGATATTTAGATTTTTTCATAACGATATCATAATGTTGTCCCACCTGAAGTCTAATAAGATCTAGATGGCGCGCCACCACAGTTCAACAAGCTTTCCTAAATCAGTTTTTGACACTCAGGGAATTGTTTAAAACAATTGGTTACCATAGTTACTCATAGCTACTGCTATTTTTATCATGTCAAGCAAATTTGAAGTAGTTAATCTTTAAAGTAATTTTTCTCGACAATTTTCTTATGTAACCAATATTAATATTGAGTGTACTAGATTCAGAAAAAGCTCCTCTTTCACATTCCGTAAAAAAATTGGAGGATTGCCATTTGAAAAAAATATCGATGACGTCATAACTCGTTTAAAAATGGCGGTTTAAAAATTTAAATCTTTAGACCCGTTTCATGGATTTTTCTATAAACCGTTTATAATGATTATATCGCCTATATCCGTTACTTTACGGACATACTGTATGCCTTATAGATTGTAGAAAATGTGTGTGAAAGTATATTTAAAATTTCGCATTATTTTGGAAGATACAGCGTATGAAACGTATACTGTGTGGAAGAGTACAAACGATCTTCTTACTCTCCTTTACTTCAAACTTTAAAAAACAAGTTTGTGTTCTGCTATATTTTATACCAATCCTTGTTTGTTGACTTTCATAGAAAAATTTTTTCAAGTAAATAAAAAAGTCAATTCAATAAATTGATAAGGTATTATAGTTTGGCTATCCGAAGACATTACGAGTTTGTGAAAGATATGAACAAACAAATTTGGGCAGAGTACTATCATAAAAGTTCCACAGATGAAACACCATAACATCAAAACTATCTTGAAGGCGAAGACAGTTGGTGTAGGTGGCATAAAGCGGAGTATATAGGTTTTGTATAAATTAAAACCAATTCTTGAACGACTTGTGTGTAGAATTACAAAATATTATATCACTTATAACGAGTGGTTATATCCGCTAATTTGGAATTTCACTCTGTTATAATCTTTAATAATCAATTTTTACTAATTTTTACTAAGATTGTGGATGTGACGGAAGTAAAAATTGGGCAACAAGCAGAATTGCAAACGCACGGTCGCAATAACATCTGCATTAGCTAAGCAAGATTACGTTCACCTAATTTCCCAAGAAACCCAATGTACATATATGTACGAGCTGTAAGAAGGACCACTTTATCGTCCTGGAATAGCAAATTAACTGCAAATATTTGTATTTTAAAGATTCCACAACATAATAGTTATACAAACTTTAATCGCGTTTTTTCGAAACGGCATTTTGGTAACTGGTAACCATGACTACTCAAAAACTACTGACTCAAATTACTCACTTTGTACACATTAACCGCATAATGCAGTTATCGTCTGAAATAGAATCAAGTAAAAAAAAAATTTTAAAAAGTAAAAAAGCGTTAATAAATGAAATTCAATAGTCAAATTGACGCCATTTTATTTCTATCGACACACCTTATAGATATAGATGCTGACAGAAAATATCCCGGTATAAATAATTGTAACCAATTTTGCATAAAAAATGTGCAAAGATATCTAAAAAATCGCAATTCTAGACAGGATTCCCCCCTTAATGCAACAACTATCCCAACAGTTTGGAAATTGTGCGTGAAGTGGTTCTGATAGTGAAGAAGTTATATTTTTATTTATTATTGGAAACAACTTATATATCATATATGTATAGACAGAATATCAAAATAATAACTAGATCCAAAACAAATTAATAATAAAATTAGGTAACGCTACAGTGTGCTAAATAAAAGCCTCTTTCTTCTTTATAAAAACAAAGTATGGGGAATTAATAGTGTCCTATTTATTACTCGTAGTTAATAGTTACCAAAAACATAAGCATACAGCTGATAATCGATGTTCCCTAGTTTTAATTTCAATTTTCTTTAACTATTTCAGATTTTGAACATCCTTCCGCTGCCGTAAACATGTTCATTCTTTACTATTTTGATTATAAAATTGAACCAGACGTCTATGCTTATTTCGTTCCATTGAAATATGCTCAACATTCACTAGAAGCACCATCAGATCGTCCAATACAGAACAAGAACGAACTGATATTTTACTCCGTTCCAGTCGACTTGGAAGCATTATTCAATCATAGTTGTGGTGGTTCTTTGTGTAAAACAGGCGTTTGCAATTCTAAATTTATCCTTATTCCGTTAAATTTAGAATATTCAGAATATATGTACAATAATGTTTTGTATCCTGTATGGAAAAAGTACCTTTTTAACCTGTCAGGTATTAAACGTTATTGCGCATACTATGACGATGAAACTGTAATATCTCCTACTGGTCAAAAATATATCGTATATGCGATATTTTCCCTTGAGAGACAAATTGCGTGGGATATGAACATCAGACCTCAAGATATAACCGATATTTTGCACCCAGAGAAATTATTAAAGTTGTGTGTTTATACATATGAACCGCAACACCCCCAAAAAGTTAATGAAACACCGAAATGCTCTGGTACACAAAGTGTTGAACATCCGACAGAGATGAAAGAAAAACTGGCTCTTACTAATGACGAAACAAGTTTGGAATCTGAAGCATCAAATCCTTCATCAACATCGGTACAAAATATTAAAGCGGCGACTCCAAAACCTGGTAATAGTAGCAAGAAAATCGAAAGAATAAAGAGTAGAGAGGATGTTGATGGTACGTCCAGAATTTCGGGTTTAATAGAAGGTTTCAAGGGTAAAATGGGTGATATAAGGAACACTGTGATCGATACAGCTAAAGATATCGTAGAGATTGTTACTCTGCCAAATCAGTCTAATGTAAGTCATGAATAAGAATTTTCTCGAAATTTGTTTACCCCCAAAGACTGTGTTAGATTTATGTAAGTAGTAACTCAGTTTTTTTGTACTTACGAAAATTGATAATATTAGATACTCTATGTATATATTTATTAACTAAAAATCAAAGCAATTCTTTATAATCATACAAAGTTTGGCCAATGATAACCTAAATAGTAGAAGCTTCTGGGTTAAGTCGAGTGTTGTTCAAAAAGTTTAAAAGAGTACTAAAAATATCCTGATAACTTTTTGAAAAACATCCGTATGATCCAGAAGTTGTAATAGTCTGTACTTTAAACTTATATCCTGTTATGATTTAGCAGATTGGTTATTGGCGTCACGGACATTGGATTTCAACTAATCCCAATTCAAAACGTGAACAAGCACTTCAAGTTCTCCAAGAAATGGGTTTCAACAATCGCGATTTAAATGCGACTTTGCTAGCGCGTTATGGCGATGATCTTAATTTAGCGTTATCACGTCTTTTGGAGTATAATTTGGATGTGTAACCTTGCACTATTTATTAATCTCTATAGATATTCGATTTCGTCTTTTTAAGTTCCAGTTGAGTGGCATAATGGTAATACAGTCATTTTGTTATTTGAATAAGAACTTGAAGACTAAATCGAATTTTACTTATTAACCTTATACTTTTCAATTTCCGCACTAAAATAAAAAACGAGTTGGTTAACAAGCTATGCTAATTAATACTTTTACATTACATATTATAATATAAAAAAAATCTATACTTAAACGTGTTTTTGTGTTCTTTTCAAATATGTTCGTGTGATTAGAATGTTTTTTTTTGTTGTTTTTGTATTAGTGTGAAATCCATTTCTTGTATAATAAGTGTTAAAATAACATTAAGATATATTAGATTATGCTTTAATTTTTTTTCAGGTTATTACAATGTTGGTGTAAATAAACAATTTTGTTAAATTATAATATAAATGTTTACACCCATGAAAGGCCTTTTATTTTCAGTTATTTTTACTAATATAAAAATAAACATCACTCTACTTTTTTGGCAATTTTACGTGAATACGACGTACTTAAAAGTTTAATATGGAAAAATTTGTATCCTTATATAATTAACAAGCAATGAATTTACACTATTTCTTATCAGTTTTGTAGATACTGAGCTATTATTATAATTTTTTTTAAGAACTTGAACGAGTAAAAATGATTTGCGATTGCGCACTAGGTTGCACGATTATTTGCAGCGCCAGATTGCGTTCTTTGGTAGGGATACGATTAAATTAATTTTAAATCTTTTAGGTTATGTATGTGTTTAGAGCGACAGAGTAACTATTCTCTGGTTTAGAGTGTAAATCGCGATGCCTCTCTTGACTTTTCAACAAATTTTGGAAACCACAGCGGACTTTTTGAGTGTGATAACAATCGCCATATGTTTTATATTGAAGATACCCCAAATAATAACGGTGCTAAAGTTAAAACATGCCAGAGGTATTAATTTAATTGGACTTTTAATGGAGTTGACAAGGTTGAAACAATCAAGTGTTTTATAACATCGGTTTTTTGGGTAATTTTTATATGTTTTTGCTTTAGTTATACTATAATGTTGTCATATAACTTTCGAAATGGTTATGCACTTTTAACTTATATGGAATACCCAATAATTTTAATCCAAAATCTTTCGCTCATATTATTAGTGATGTACTTTAAAGGCTATTTAAATATCTATGCTGTAATTGGAGCAGGAATATATTTTACGTTTGCTGCAGCTTTTATTCTTGGCATAGTTCCCATGTCTGTATTGTCTTATTTAGTGGTATGTAATAGATTTAGAAGTTATTATTGCAGTTTAATTCAAGTTCTTATATTTTTAGCCAATGTGTACACCTATTGGAGCATCATCTAAGGTTGTACAACTCTTAGAAATGGTTAGATTAAAGAATGCAGATTCTGTGAGTTTGTTGACTTGGTTTATATCAGCATTCACTAATGCAAGTAAGTTTCTAACTTCATAATACACTTTTTTGACATTAAAAACATTAAGTAATATCCTTAAAATATTATAATTTTGCTTACAAAATCAGAACCCAAAAGTAAAATATATCTAATTAACAATTTATAAATTACCTGAAGTCATAGCTTAACATGACTTTGGATGTGTCAAATTCTGTGTTTATCATTAGGATCTTAGTAAAAGATAAGAGCTGTGAAAAAACTGAAGCTAGAGTAATTTTGGACAACTATTTACAAATTTATTTAGTGTATGGCATCAAGACACAACAAAAACGGAAATCACAATCAAAATATAAAATATAAGACAAAATAAAATAGTATGAAATAAAATAATATGAAAACAATATACCATTATACAATTGCAATGACAATCACAGTCACAGTAATCTTCAGGTAGTCCATCATTGGTTGTCTTAGTTCAATCTTCTAAAATAATATTATTGCTGCGAGGAGCGGCCCCTCTTGTCACCACGACCTATAAGACCTATTGTATTTCTCCAAAGGTTTAGGGTAAGTGTAGGTCCTTGATAAGCCTTAGTATTGCTCTAAGGTTTTGTTCCTGTATGTCGGTAGCTGTTAGGCGAACTATTCCGAAAATGTTGCGTCTTAGACGGTCTTTGGCGACGCAACCACACAATATATGTTCAGCCATTTTGTAAGGGCGTACGTTTCAGGATGTTCAGATAGTTTTCAGGAAGCCTGAGAGCGATCTTAGGTCCCCTTTGTTGAGGCATAAAACCTCTTTGGTTTTGTTTTGCGACGTAGTTATCATACTCTTCGCCTGTCTGTGATCTAGAAGTGCTTTCTAGCGTAACGCTACCTTTGAGGCCTCCCATTTATTCATTACATCTTCTATAATATGTATCACGGTTTGATTTTTACCCCATTCGCAGGAGGATGTCAATGTCTGGTACCATTTATGCAGAAAGTAAACGTATCTACCATACCATATTTTCAAGTTCCGTATTCTGTTTAGAGTTGACCAGGTTTTGTGTGGTAAATCAAAGCTAGGAGGCTTTTGGGTAATACATGGGGTCTGATTGTTCTGGTTTGTTATGCATTCGTGATGCCAAGTGTTAATCAGGCTGAATGCTTTGCCTGTAGCAGTGGCTGCTGTTTTGATCGGTGGCTGTATTGGTCAGTTTGATTGCTCAAGATCTTGTACTCTCTTGTGATAGCACTTATAGGGTGCAGGTTTGGAGTGGTACATGACTCAGTAAGGGGAGCGATTCCATTGAAGTAGTTTTGATAACACCTGCGATCATTCTCATCGTGTTATTAAGTTACGCATCGACTCTGTGGACATGAGGACTGTTAAGCTACACTGGCGCACAGTATTCAGGGGCTGAGAAGACGAGACTCACGGTTGTTGAGCGCAGACTGGAGGCTCCCGTTGTTGTTCTACACTCCTTTGGTGTAATATTGTTCCTCGTTTTTTTGTTTCTCCGCTGTTTTCACTATATGTTCTTTGAATGAGAGCGTGTTATTAACTGTAACATCTAGGTATTTTGGTGTAATGTTGTGAGTAAGCCATGAGTTCTCGAATTATATTAGAAGCTTTCTGTCGACGAGTTTATTGTTTAGATGAAAACATGTTACCTCAGTTCTGTTTGCGTTTGATTGAAGACGCCATTTCCGGAAGTATCTTCCCAGATTCTCTAGGTTGGCTGTCAGAATCTAATCTGATTTTATCAGAATTTAAATCTTTAGACCTGTTTCAGGGATTTCTTCATAAACCGTTTATAATGATATTATCGCCTATATCCACTGCTTTACGGACGCACTCTATAGATTAGACTTGCATTGAAGAGTTTTCTTGGTGAGCATAGGACACCGTGACAACTCGGAATGTTTTGTCATTTAGCATATTATTTAGCAGCCGAGCTCATGATTTACATGGCATAACACTGAGGATTTTATAGATGATACTCTCCATACTGTTTCGTAGGCAGCCGATGGATCAATGAATGCATCAGAAGTTTTGAACTTTCCTTGGAATCCTGCTTCAATATAAGTTGAAAGCGAGAGGACCTGCGCAACGTTGTCTTTTAGGCAGTTTTATTTATAATACTCCATCTTTGATAATAAGTGAGATATTCGCGATTGTCGTTTTCGAAAAATTTTCAGCTTTTGCCGATAGGGCGAAAACAAAAGACGATAGGTGTTCAGAGTTTTCGGCATTAGCATTTTCTCGAAAAACCGAGATCATGACATGTAAGCTACTTTTTTTCTATCACTTTTAGTTTCGGAGATAGCCTATGCGGACTACGAAATTGGGACACCCTGTACTAGACGTTGCTGCTATACGGGAGGCAACGGTATTTGGAGAAATGTTTGCTTTTGGTCTTTAGCAAGGTGCTTCGTTAACCAATTTTCTAAGAAGGGTCCACGCTTGGCTGCTTGAGCTCTGGAAGTTCAGATTTTCTACCGTTTCCAACCATTTCTGTTGCCTTGTATCCTCAATCCTGTGGAAAAAAAAACTTTAAAAAAAACTCAAAACCTCATATTGTTCGAGATACCTTGGTTTTTGAAATATCACTGAAAG